AATCAGTTTATGACTTCCACAAGCAGAATTTAAAGTCCTATTATTGCTAGTAGGAATTTATATATCAATCGACCTTTTACTTATTTTCCGACTAGCTAAAATGATCAAGTTTTAACTGGAGTTCTCTGTCGTGGATACCAATGCAAGTTACTATAGTTTCTTGACCGCAACACGCACATTTTACAAGCAAATTTTTTACTGTCATTTTCTTGTGCAGTGGAATTTTTAGATCACTTTATGATTAGCCAGAGTGCTTAAATGGTGCAAAAATGTATTGCCATTTTATCACCATTCGAAATTCTAAGTTCTTTCTGTCACAAAACTAAAAAAGAAGGAAATTATAAAATGAAATGATCTTAAGGACAATGTTTTTAAATTAGGATAAAAAATCTAAAATAACCTTATTTTTGTTAGACCAAAAACGGTGATTGAAGGGCATACGACTTACGTAACAAATTTAATCATCACAAACCCCCTTCTATTTCAGTCTTTTGTAAGTGATGTTGATGTGCACTTCATTTTTCACTTTAGGTCTAACATACTCAATTTTATTCTCAATAAATCTACTCAAAGACGAAGTTTTTAAAGCTATTATATTATTTAACGGAAATCTAAACAGAAAACATGAAGTACACGATTTTCGTAATAAATCATCGAAATGTCCTTCTCAGGTGGTCAGTTTTTCACGAAGAAAAGATCTTTGGTGAAATTACTGAGTAGATGGTCAAGTCAATTCTGTTATAAAATACCATAAATGTGGTAATAAAAGCCAAAATATACGGTTTTTAAATAACTTATTTAGTTGTTTTTCCATCCTTTTAATAACGGTTTATCGGAAGTTCTGGTTTTCAAACTTATAGTTCTAATTACCACATATTAAGTAAAAATACAAATCAGAAAAGTAAAAGCTTAATAAATGGTTTTTTTGCCATGTTCTAAACTATCATGATCAATAATTCCAAATTTTACCACCTTACCAAACTTTATCACATATTATAAGACCATATTTAAGTAAAATTCAGCTAAAATATGTTACGTCATACAAAAATACAAATTTAGATAAGTAAATGAAAGGAAAAACAAAAAGAATGCCATTAATTTTGGTCACAGTAGTTCCTCATATGCAAACATAGTATACAAATAAAGCTTTATTAATTTGTATTGTACTTTTAAGACATTAATTTACTCTAAGTCAGAAAGAAAAAAATCTGGTAAAACTACCGCATAGAATGGTAATAACATTTCTAATAAAAGAAAAAAAAAGTATGATTCTGGTTAATGATACCAAAATATACGGTTTTTAAGCTATTAATTTGGAAACTTTTCTGTTCATATGATAATGGCTTATTGGAAATTCTGATTTTAAAAATTATAGTTCCTTATCCCACACGCTCAGTAGGAAATACAAAACTGCATAATAAATTTAATAAATAGTTCGCATACCATGTTCTGTGGTATCCTGATAAAATTATAAAATTTTACCACATTTACTAAGTTTTATCACATATTAAAAAATCCACTTTTATTGCTAATTTTACTAAAATCATTACCAAAGCGAGTCTATAAAAATTACAGAGCTTTTTGTGGTTCTCATAGAGCCAGAAACACGGTATATTTTACCTTGTTTTGGAAGTTCTGACTATACTCTTTTTCTGAGTACAATTTTCATTTTCGATTCCACATAACTCTTTAATTCCATTCTTATTTCAACGTATTTTATTATAATTTTTACATTAAATTATTATTTTATTTAATTTTATTATTGCTAAAAATCTTTCGTTAAACGAAAAGTTTTACTGATATCATAGAAAAAAAGATTAATTAAGAAACAATGGCCAAAACTCGTACATTGTATTCGTACTTGTACATGGCAAAGCAAGCTTGACTGATTAGGTATAAGAGCAGATAAATAATGCACATGACTGAAACACATGGGCTGGTACAGATCTCATTAATACCTTAGTATTGTATATCATACCTTATTACGGCTATGAATCTTCTGCACCATTAAGATGTGAAAGTGTAAAATGACAAAGAACGGTCACAAACACGTTTTGAGAATCTTTAAATTGTGACCTCTTTTGATTAATATTCGGAACCATACTCCAATATATGGCAGCTTTTTTCTCATTTACAAATGAGGATTTTTGTGTGATTGTTTAACCTTGGCGTAAGACTGCGAGTTTGAATTTTAAGCAGGTATCTAGAGCATAAATTAAAATCTGTTCTTCTTTAACTAAGGCTGTCAAGACACAATTCAACGTGTTCGGGATTCGAAAATGAAATCATTTGAAGTGGCAGACATCTAGTAGACCACATCTGGGCATCTTATTCAAAAGTTCTTAGAATGACTTTAATTAGTTTTGAAAGCTCCGCATTTATATTTTAGAGAGGATGACCCACGTGTGTTTAGAAATTTCTTTAAACTTTTTTCTGTGATTTCTGCTTTCGATTTTGTAAGATTTCGAGTGGATTAAGAAAGTTTTAATGCTCATGATAACTTTTCATTTGAAAATGAATATTTTTATATGTTATATTGAAATTCTTTCCAAAATTAAATTCGAAATTAAAGCGAGTAGGTTGGTATTTTTTATTTACGTTGCATTGGAGCTGCAGAATGGTTTATTGGCGACGGTCTGAGAAACATCCCTGAGGATGATCCGAAGACATGCCATCATAATTTTGATCCTCTGCAGAGGGGATGGCTCCTCCGATTCGGTAGCCCATTGACCTGCGCGCGAAGTCGAGCACGTTACTGTTGAACAGTTTAACGAGGAACGATACCACTCACCTACGCTGGTTGATCAAAGTGGTCACCCACCAGCTGGGGACCATGTATTTACGATCAGTTCACTGCAATTCATTAAATTTATAATGAGCTGTAGAAATGAATAATGAAATGCATGAAATTTTACTGATGAATCCATTTCGTGTTTCCGATAGAGCACTTTGTTAAATTTAAGAAACTACTATCTTCCATGGTTTGAGGATTAGGGTTAACGCAATTTATCGATTAATACACGGAGAAAAAAAAAAGGTAAAATTTCCGACTTGTATGGTAATGACATTTCTGGAAAAAATGAACATAATTCTGGATCAACATATACGGTATTATAACCATTCTTTGGTAATTTTTCTGTTCATATAGTAAAGGTGTACTGAAAGTTCTGGTTGTCAAAATTATAGTTCTGATCATCATACATTTAGAAAAAAATACTAAGCAAAAATAAAATCGAACAGAATAAATGGTTTTTATGTCCTGATCTAAGGTATCATGACAAAATTACCAAATTTTACCACACTCACCAAATTTTATCTCATATTATAAAACCCTATTTTTTTAATTTTACTAATGCCATTACAAAAGGGCTTTGGTACTTTTATAATGATATTAATACAATACTCTTTTTTCTCATAGAAAAGACATGAAATAAAAGGAAGATTACTGAATATTTATGGTCATTCGCAGTTGCTTTTAGACTACTTTTCAATTTTAAACATCTGCTAATTTAAGAATATTTATTTTAGAGATTAGTTAATTGCGTAAAACACACACACAGAACACAAGCTAGTTTTGTTACAGAATCAATCCATCTGGTGTTTGGTCTTTCCCCATAACTTTTTCGATTACAGTAATCAGTTACTCGTAATCATGATTATAACATATCATAATTTTGATTACAGCTGTAATAGTGATTACAACAATCACTTACAGTGATCAATTACTTGTAAACCTGATAACAATAGTCGATTACAGTAACCAGTTACTTGTAATCGTGATAACAATAGTCGATTACAGTAATCAATTACTCGTAATCGTGATTACAATAGTTGATTACGGTAAACAACTACTTGTAATCGTGATTACAATTCACCATAATTTTGACTACCATCGTGATTCCCATTAATTGTGATCCTAAGTATTCAAAACAAGAAATGATTACGGATGACAGCGATTACAAGTAATGAAAATATATGATTACGTATAATCCTGATTACAAATAAATGTGATTACCTGTAATCAAAATATGCTATTACAAGTAATTGCGATTGCATACTATATGTAAATACAGTATGTAAGTATGTAAACTCATACATATTTTTATGTACGTTGAAAATACGTATGCATAAACAACTTTCTTATTCATAAAATGTATGTAGGTAGTACCTATGTATGTAGATGTATATGTGTATACGTAGTATACGTATGTACATACATATTTTGGGCAGATACAATGTTTGTGCCAAAAAAACGTACGCCATATTTAAATAAAGTAGTAAAAGAATGATATTTCGTACGAAATGGATTTTATCGGTAATAATTATAGGAATATAAAAAAAAAAATCTCTCAAAATTTCGTAAACATTTACGTTTGAAGCGAATCAAAATATAAACTTAACATAAAATATTAACTTATTACATACTTTACACATTATATATCAATTCCAGGAAAAATACGCTATTCTTTCGCATTAGGAAAGTGATCATAATTTAAATAAAAATTTAACCTATAACCTGCAAATTTACTAAAAGGTAATTTATAATGCCCATTAATGTTTTTCCATGATCGAATAAAATTGATTTATAGTTTCACTGCGGTACGAACATACGATAATTGTAAGCGTATGTAATAATTAAAATCTTTAGCCTTAATTTTTAATTGAGTGGGCAACTGATCAAAATGAGGTATTGCCTCTGCTTGACTTTTTCTCGGAAACTTCAATAAACTCACACAAGGTTGTCTCTTAACGGGTACTCAAAGAGACAAGTTCAAGGCTAAGGCACTTTATCTGTCTTCTACAACTGAGGATTTATTATATGATGGAAAAGTAATATATGAACTGCACGACTTATGTTGAAAATTAATTCAGAGATCTACCCTTTTTTTAAGATACCTTCAAGACTTGATGGAGAAGACTGGTTACAAAAAACCTACTTTCTCGAAAGACCCCCATGTTGATGTCCCAGGTGTTCAGAATGATTTGCAAGTGATCTTTGACCCCTGTGGTCATCAAGATCTTGAGATTTGATTGACTTAATAATGGGATACCGTTTATATTTAAAGCCAACGGATATCACTCGAAACTGGGATTTGATATCTGGAGATTAACAGTTCCTGAGTGATTTTAGAAACAGCTTTAAAATGATGCAACCATTGGTGAGTTTTTTTTTTTAATTACTCAGTAAGGAAGATAGCTCTATTTAAAAAACATTTACGAATTTAAAACTTAAATAACATTGTTATTAAGATCTGATCTTATTTTAACATAAAAAGACGGTTGGGATTAATTAGGTCCCTCTCATTTTCATTTCTTTGTGATTCAAAAAATAACTTATTGAAAATATTGAGCATTTCTGACATTTCCTAATCTAATCCAATTTAAATAACTATTAAATTATTCTTGCGTTAGCTTTATGGGAACTAGTGCCCCTTAAGGGTATTTTGATAGGTCCCCTATATCCACAGTTATTTTTGGGTGTAAGGTGTTCTTTAATTGTTAAAAGGTATCCCAATTTCACAAGAAAAAGAAGTGTATTTCAACGTATCTTCAATTATTATTTATACCGAAAGGAAATTCAATTATCAGAGAAACTAATAAGTAGATCTGATAAGTCCTTGTTTCGTTTGAACAAATATTTTCGTTAATCAAATTGAATTAAATACCGTAGAATTTTTATGAGTGAGTATCTAATATATTTCTTATTGAATTAATTGTGATTATATTTTAAGCTTTTGGATATATAATAAATTTCCTACTTGAAAGTGCTAGACTGGCCCCTTCAAACTTTCTAGGATCCAATCTTTTTAATGCTAATATCATCTTTTAAAATTGTAAGGACAATTTAAAATGGTGAGACTATTGCACTTAAGTGCTGAAAAAGTTGTTCCAGACAATTATTCTACATAGGGTTCTATAAAATCTTAAAATTGGTCAGTTTCTTTAATTTAAAATTAGTTCATTCGAAGATATATTTATAATCAGCTCATTATAATTGGTACGTTATACGTTAGCGTTACGTCTTACGTTAGCATTTTTAAGTTATAATTAGTACTTTTATTTATAATTAGTTCATTCATAGAACAAACTGAATAAATTACTATCTTTTAAAAGGCTTTACAGCTTGTTGAAAATTATGACTTTAATGAGAAAAAGAACATCAGTTAACAATTTTAAATGACACAGTTACTTGAATGTCGTATATTATGAGTTAAGAGTTCAAACATTTCTTGAAATAACTTCTTTATCAAAACTTTACTTTAAAGTTTATCCTATCATATTTTTGTTTAAAATAAGGACAAGTAAGTTTTAAAACATTAAAATTATGTTATATTGTTTATATTAGAACTTTATTTAGTTACATTATTTTATTCAAATATTATATTTAGTATGTCTGATAAACTTTATGTGAAAAGTTTGTATAATATGATCCTGACTTCTACGGAATGGAGAATATGTAGTTTCAATACTTAAGGATTTTTAAATATTTATTAAAAGCAATCAAATTTTAAAAAATGTGTAAATAAGTTTCATTTACTTTTGAGATACTGCTCTTAAATTAGTTTCAAATTATAGCTTGCATTTTTTTCTTAAAATTCAAACAAAAGATTTTAATGTAATATCAAATAATGCTTTTTTACTTATTTTTTCAAATAATTTTAAATTCTGAAAATACAAGCATAAATTGTGTAAGTTCTTTTTTTAGTTTGAATTTAATTTAATTGTTGTTTCGAATAATGAAAATACATTTAGGTCTTAAATAAATATTTTATATAAATATATTGTTATTTATTGATAGATACTGAGTTATTTTTAAAACTAAGTTGCTAGTTAAGTTTTAAATAAAACAGTCAGTTATTTGAATAAAATCGTAAAGAAAAACTATGTTCTAAATTTATCCTAATATCTTTTAACTTTCGAGGGGAATAGAAATTCTACGGAAATTTCAGGTTCTCAAAAGTTTTCAAATTTGTTTACTCAAATATTACATGAATAAGTATGTGTCTGTTGATATTTTTTCATAGTATTAAGAAATGCATAAAACTAACTATTATTGTTTCACATTTATAAAAATTAATACGTTATGGTTTTTGAGCAACAAAGCAGTTTTCGTAATCATCAATTTTCGTAACTTTAAGGTAGAAAGTTTACACTTGCAAGTTCAGTGTTTTGATAATTAACACTTTTATTTTTGAAAAAAATTAAGACTTAAAATGCAATATTTTAAAACTTTATCTAATTATACCGACAGTAATCGAGAATATATATACATATATATTTTATCTCAATTTTATTCAATTATGAGGATAAAATATGCAAAACTTCAATCACAACTTAAAATGATTTTGATTTTTGTTATTTTAAACGTATACATCAATTGGAAAATAAAATGGTTTAAAATTAACTATTTCTTTAACTGATAAGTAGATGAAATTAGAATTTTAATCTAGTTGTGACCGGTAATATAATATTACTTTGAATAAAAATTGATTATAATAAATAATCTCGTCGTGCAATGTCTGCGCTGTGGATCTAGATCAATGTTCTTCATATATTTTTCCATGCAATATATATAAATATATTTGATTTAAATTAATTCTATTTATTTACATTAAAAATTGAATATTGGTTGTGTTTAAATATGTATTAATGATATTGGTTCACGTCCACTGCAAATAAGTATAGATTTGTTTGTCAAAATAAATATGAATCTTTATTATTTAAAGTTAAGTGTAATTGTATTGTCATAGATTTACAAGTTAAATGTATCATTTTTAAATATTTTAAGATTTAAACATTCTACTAAAATGAAGATTGTGTATTATTTTTTTGACATTATTATATACTTAATCGTGTTGAAATGTCGTATAAAGATGTATACATGAACATGGTAAATATTAATTACATTCTTAAATTTTAAATTTTTTTTTACCATTTATGTAAGTCATTAAGTAATTTCTTTCTACTATTTAATTTGTTTTCCTATTATTTAATTGTATTTGTACTGTCATAGGTATAAAAATTAAATGCATCATTTTTAAATATTTTAACAGTCTATTAAAATATTTTAACTTTTATAAGATAAAGTCTATTATAAGATTTTAACATGGCTATATACTTTCACATTATTATAGATTTTCTTTTTGTTAAAATATGGTATAAGGATAAATTCAAAAATATAGTAAGCATGAATTACATTCTTAAATTTTTTGTATCGCTTATGTAAGTTATTAAGCAATTTTTTGTACTATTTCTAATTTTTGTTTTCAGTATATTGTCTTGCTACTCGCCTTCGTCCATTGCGTGGTATCTGATGGAACGGCCAAAGTAAAGCAAGCTAATCAGCCAGCCTACCAATCAGTTCGTCAACCATATTACAGACAATATGACGGAGGCAGTGCTAGTTACGATTACAACAACGCCAACGCCAACGCTTACCGAAATTACGACGCTGGACGCTCAGGATACGCTTACTATCCTTCTTCATCTTATGATACCAATTCCCATTACCTTCACCTATCAGGAGGAGTCTACAGGCCATACGACTACGGCTACTCCTCTTACGGTGCTGGATACAGGCCATATGCCTATGACAATGCCTACAACAACTATTACGACGGTTCATCAAGTCAATACGTAGGACATCCTCAAGTTCAATATGGTGCATCCTACTAAGATGTTAAGTATGTTGCAAATAATAAATTAGATCATTCTAAATAAATAAATTAGTTCATTCTAAATAAATAAACTACTTCATTCTAAACGAAATTAAAATGTTCGCGTTCCATAGCTTCTCCTTGTTAACTTGTCAGAAAATCCTTTTTATTTTTAAATCAGTTTAACACTTTCAAAAAAAGTGTAAGTTGAAATTGATGAAAATTATGAAAATCAGGCTCATATTAGTAAGGCACAAGGGAATTTGAATCATTCTTCACAAAGGTACGTTTTTTAAAAGCAATGTTTTTTACTATTGTTAGCTCATTATTTTCAAATGAATGACTAACTTTTAACCGAGTGAATAATACTAATGGGGTTTTCATTACATATAGTTTAAAAAAGAAAGTTTATATTGTACTTTCAATTTTATTTATTTTTTGTTTTCAAGTTTATTTAGCTATTACCTTTAAAAAGAATCAAGTTTCTTAAATATTTCAAACTCAGCTAAAGTTATAATAATATACGGTAGTGAACTTCTACGCAAATCAGGTAAATAAATAATAAGTTATTGAGCTTTTCAATAGCAGTTACACTCAGGAAAAAAGTATGGTTCAAATTACCAGAATATTGTAAAATTTGCCGAGTTTTTGGCTCAATAAGAACACTAAAAATCTCGGTAATTTTTACCGAAGCGATTTGGTAATGATTTCGGTGAAATTACTAAAATATGGTTTTATAATCGGAGATGAAATTAGATAATTTTATCATCATACCTTAGAGCATGACATAAAAACCATTCATTCGGTTGAATTTATTATTCAGTTTGGTATTTTTTACTGAATATAAGATAATAAGAAATATTATTTTGAAAACTAGAATTTCCGGTAAACCGTTACAATTTGAACATTTTGAAAAAGGTATATATTTATACCATAAATTAAAAATATGTTACAAAAAGGAATAAATGAAGTAATTACTTAAACAGAACAATCACGAAATTTTTGTTTATGAAAAGTTATTTTTAAACAAAAAAATTCTGGGTGCTTATTTTTTTAAATTATAATAAACCTAATATAAAACATTAAAAATTCTTAATGCAATATGCGTAAATTTTCAATTAATACACAAAATCAAACTTGTTTGGGAAAAGAAAAAATATTATTTAAATAAATTTCAGAAAAAATATACATAAATGAAGGGCGTGAAGCAGTTTCATGATCAGCCAGATTCTATCTATATTATATAAAACGCTAATACGTACGTATGTATCAATCAAACCGATGATATTTCTTTTCTCGCGCTGGCAACAGTTTTCATTTTTAATTGATTGGATTCGGCGCGCAAGAGCACGTAGTGAGCATCATATGGCTAATCCATGTTATATAAAACGCTAATACGTTTTAATTGATAGGCTTCGGCGCGCAAGAGCACGTAGTGAGCATCATATGGCTAATCCATGTTATATAAAACGCTAATACGTTTTAATTGATAGGCTTCGGCGCGCAAGAGCACGTAGTGAGCATCATATGGCTAATCCATGNTATATATATATATATATATATATATATATATATATATATATATATATATATATATATATATATATATATATATATATATATATATATATATATATATATATATATATATATATATATATATATATATATATATATATATATATATATATATATATATATATATATATATATATATATATATATATATATATATATATATATATATATATATATATATATATATATATATATATATATATATATATATATATATATATATATATATATATATATATATATATATATATATATATATATATATATATATATATATATATATATATATATATATATATATATATATATATATATATATATATATATATATATATATATATATATATATATATATATATATATATATATATATATATATATATATATATATATATATATATATATATATATATATATATATATATATATATATATATATATATATATATATATATATATATATATATATATATATATATATATATATATATATATATATATATATATATATATATATATATATATATATATATATATATATATATATATATATATATATATATATATATATATATATATATATATATATATATATATATATATATATATATATATATATATATATATATATATATATATATATATATATATATATATATATATATATATATATATATATATATATATATATATATATATATATATATATATATATATATATATATATATATATATATATATATATATATATATATATATATATATATATATATATATATATATATATATATATATATATATATATATATATATATATATATATATATATATATATATATATATATATATATATATATATATATATATATATATATATATATATATATATATATATATATATATATATATATATATATATATATATATATATATATATATATATATATATATATATATATATATATATATATATATATATATATATATATATATATATATATATATATATATATATATATATATTACACAATTTTACGTAGAACTGCTGATGTATTTTACTCAAGAAAAATGTGACGAAACATTAAAGTATCGAAGTATGTTTCATCACATTTTTGAGACATTGAGGAAATAGTACTTGAAAGAATCTTAGTAATTTTTATTTCATTTGAAAAAAAAATCAATTCTACAATTTGTTCTAAAAAAAGTAATGCTTTTATCAGAATATATAATTTGTTTTTTAATGTGCAGAATTTATGATTACGAATATTACAAATTGTAAGTGAATATATGGTATTTGAATGTTTGATGTCTTTTTTAGGAACCTGAAACATTCTGTGATGTCATAATGAAAAGCATCATCACCATTCTACAGTAAACATCATATTCAACTAAGCCAACATTTTATTGAGCTTATTTTTGTTAATGATTTCAAACAATTAAATTTTTTTTCTTCATGAATATGCTTTTTTCCCACTATTTTTTTGTAAAAAAATAAATATTTCTTTCTAAAAACCACTTATTTTTATTTGATAATTAAGATACAGCAGCAAAATTATTCATGATAATTGGATATTTCAAAATAACATATACAAATAAAAAGTTGTTGCGTAATTTTAAATGAAATTAAATATTTATAATACATAAACCCAAATGTTTTCCTAATATAATTTGTATTTCGCTTCAAATGTCATGAGTTTCCTAAACCATAAATAGTTGAATATTCGACTTGGTTAATATAAAATCACAATTCAGTTTTATCAAAGACTAAATTGGAATATTTAAAATAAATTATAATTAAAATTATTTAAATTTTCCATTTGAAAACTTTTTATTTTAAAATGAATTTTAATTATTTTTAATCAATAAGTAAATTAATTAATACTTATTTTCGTTGCATAGTGCGTTTATTTTAAAGAGTTGTGCAAATGTTAAAATAGATGTTTTAGTTTTTTTTCAAATTAAATTTGCTTCTGACCGAGTTAATCAAATTTAATTTCCTTCATCATAATGTTAATAATTTTTTTAACAGAACAACATAATAATAATATATTTTCAAAACGAACAGAATATATGTTGTTTTTATGGTATAAAAAAATTTAGTCAATATAAATAATAGGAGAAAATTAATGTTGAAAATCCTCATACGTAATGGTTAGATTTATCCAAATGTACTTGTGCTTTGTATGAATAAAGCATAAACAATGTGAATAAATCAGAAACGATGTGAATAAAGCACATATAATAACACATAAAGGAACATATACTCCAACATTTTTAACTTATAAATTAAGAATGTTGAGAATTTACTACTTGCAACAATAGAAGATGTGAAGTGAATATGCCTTATCATGTGTTTAAATCAGATATAACTGGATACCTGTAAGAGACGAGTGCATGTCGGACCTAATTGGTTTCTGAATCGACAAATGCTGCGATTTACTTACTATGACGTCACTAGTTATCCAATTGTTATAAAAAAAGTATTAAGCTCAAATAAACATTCATGAAGTAAATGCAGAGCATTATTATTAACATAGAAGTGACATTATCAAAATGATTATGTACTATTGGTAATTTACTTTCAACATGTTACTTTAAAAAGAAGTTATACATTTCTATGTTTACTCTTTCTTTTATACACAGCGATTGGGATAATTAAGGGAATAAAAAATGAGATAGCATTATATTTTGAACTATTTCTTATCGAGTTAAGTTTAATTTCAATAATATTGAGGTATTATCAAATGTACTTGTTCTTCTTTCTTTCTCTTCCTTCAGGGCTGTTTATCCACCACATTCATAATTTTGGTGATATTCATTAAAATTCGAGGGGAACTTAATCGGTATTTTATGGTATCCCTGTTTGAGGATTTTACCTTCCCGAGATATGTTGAACAATACAATTTTCGATGTCTGGATGATATGCAATCTTTAACTGGAAGAGTCTATCATTCACATTGGGAAAAAAAAATCTAGAAATATGTATGCACCAGCTGAATACACGTTCATCGTACCGGGTGAAAAAAGTAAACTATCAATGTATTAGTACTGAACAGCACTAAAACATGCACAAAATTGAAAGACATTTAAAAACACAATGAATAAAGTCAAAATAATTCCTTTTTTTTCATGTTTCATATCTTGAAATTCCCGGTGGCTTTATGTCATTAGATTACGAGAAATACGCTTTTAATAATTCCTCCCAACAAAATAATGATTAACACACAATATCATTTGGTATGATGCTGTTGCTTGGCTATAAGTCGTGACAGTCAAAAGTTGCCACAATCAAGCGATTTGCTCCAGTATTTTTTCCTAGAGAGGGGCCATAAAAAACCTATTTCCACAATATCTACATTAAAGGTTACAAGTATTGATGCAGTTTCAATAGGTATCAAATATACTAACGTTATACATTTTACATATGTTCGAATATTTGGTACCTATAAAAACTGGATCACTTACCTTAACATCAGTAGTTCCTACATTTTCTTCTTTTAAACAAATTAGTCCTAATTTTTCATTAATTTTGCTTTTTACTTAGCTTATTTTTTCATTTTAATTAGTACTTACTGCCAAAATCAATTAAGCATTATTGGCGTCGAAAATGGTACATGGGTTCTTTTCAGTACATAGATTTCTTTTTGAAATTTTAATTCTTTCTTATTACCAAAATTTATTTTGCATCTTTTGCGTATGACGATTTTCCATGGTTCTCCTAAAACAATTAGTAATATTTTTCTACAAATTTTGCTTTTGTGTTCTTAGTTTTATTAATTTAAATTTCACTGTTAGAATTTTCATTCTAAAATTATGGTAAAATAACTGGCAGCAATCAGTCCATCCTATTAACCGTAAAATTTACGGTAAAGAGCATTCTTTTTCTAAACAATTTTAGAACCATTCATAAAGTATGGTTATAAAACCACAAATACAAAACTATACGGTTTTTAAACCATTTACAACTAGAATATTTTCACAACCATAAAAACGAAATTTAACTGGACATAGGAGCTAAGCTTTTCGTTTGGTAATGGTCATTCGAGAGTGCAGGACATTGGAAACTCTTCATGTATTGAAGGTAATGGAGGAAATATTATGGTGTCAACGCTGGGACTCGAACCCCAGTTCTATCGTTCATGAGACTGACAGATTAGTCCTCTCGGCTGCAATATGTACCCAGTTGAAAGGAATTAAGTGTCTTCATTAGGTGAGCTTAGTTGGTGTGATAAAATTCTGGTTGTTTAACCGTATTAGGTGAAAACAGTAAACAAACTGTTTTTCCTCGCAATTAGCAGTTTGATTACCATCTTATTTATGATTATTTAACTGTTTTGTTTGAATATGGTAAAATAACTATTAAATAAATTGCTAATTAACCATTTTTTTTTCCAAAAAATTTCAAGCAGTGTAGTATTTACTGCCAAAATTAATCAAGCATTATTTTTGTCAACAATAGTATGACGATGTTTTACGTTACGAAGTTATTATTTCTCCGAAACGAGTTATTACTTCTCCATTAACTTAGTTTGTTAGTACATAACTTAATTTTTTCATTTTAGCTACCACTGAATTTTAAATTACTTAGTTTTATAGAAGTAGGTTACAAAAACGTATCTATAAACACATGGTTTCAGATAAATTCATAACTACTAATTTAAAGACGTTCCACCTATGCTACCACATTCACATTGATCAATGAGTTTTCACAACGAATTCCGTTTGACATAACGAATTAAAAATATTTGAATATTCAAGAAGCTATAAATTCCCTTTTTTAATTGTCAGATATAAGCTGTTAAACTACACAATGTTTTCTTTTAAATATTTGTTAAAAAATGTAACTGCAATTTAATTTTTATCAATGGCCAGTTCCAAACTAATAGGATAATTTCATCCGTTTTCCACTCATCCCGTTCGAACGGTTTGTTGTAGAATACTCTAATGTCGACAGTGTCGACTTCCCTTGTTTCAATCTATTAGTATGAAACATTTCATCCCTCTCGGTCGGATGGTTTAAGAGTCTATAAAGGACAGAAAGACAGGCATTTTTACATAGATAGATAATGTTGCATCAAAATTTGTGATAATTTCTTTAACTGGGAAACACTTAAGTTGTACTTAAACGCATTGTCACTTTTCAGAAATACGTAAAAACATCACATGCTAAATGAATTATTTTCTGATTTATGTCTTAAGAATTATAAACATATGGTGACACCACAAAATTGTCTTAACATTAACAACACCGCAATGATTACACAGGGGTGAAAATTTTTGTTGTTCTTACTTTTATACCAATACTGAATTTTGCCTAATTCGGATGTGGGGATCTCAAATCTGAAATCTGTTTTGCTCCTAAAGCTACAGATTTTTTAAATGGCATTTTTAGCCTATATTTTGTCTACATTTACATGTTTAAAACCTTCATGCATAACAGATGTTTGTGTGAATGTTGCAACAAACTTCTTGGGGAGTTAGGGTTCATCATCAGGATTAAGACATGAGCTGAGAAATTCTGTCGAACGCGGTTATAAGCGTTTCTCTATTATGACTTGTTCAAGAGCACACGAAGAAACATTCCGTGATAGAGAAGCATCTCTAGTGGTGTATGACGATATTTCAGAGCATGGGTTCCCGTGCAATTTTAAAACTGATGATGTGCCCTGTTTTACATAACGTTTTTAAACGTTAACATACATAACTTTAAAAAAAACTGTATCTTGGGGAGTGAAGATGATTGCAGAATTAATATCAGAGATACAAAAGCATCTGAGATCTGTTAAAAAACTGTCATATGCAACCGAAAAAAAATATGGCCCAGTGTTATGTATTAAAAAGGAACTATTGAAATAGATTTGTGAATTAGTAGATTTCAGTGACGACTTTTTAAAAATATTTGTATTTATATCGGTAGTTACTATGCTGTTTAATTCAATTCTTATTTCATAAAAAAGTACGATTTGGTACTTATGAATATTATGTTCTCTGTACTAATGTTAGAAACATATAAAAACATGATAGAAACATAAAAAAGATTAATCATGTCACACTAAATAAATTTTTTGACATGATTTCTTCAAAATTAAATAAGTAACTAAAAAAATTTTTTTTTCATTTTTATTAATCATATTTTGAAATTTTATCAGTAAAATTCAATGTTTTTATTTTTGTATGAATTCACAATTCTGTTTTCACCGAAGTTCGTCTAATTTCAAGACTTACCTACACTAGCAACACTTTGCTTTTTTGTTAACTAATAAAATGCCATGGTAACCAAATTCTGTAGTATGTTCCAAGCAGCCGCATGATCGCTGAAAGCGACTAGTTTTCAATAACATTTTACCTAAAAGTTAATAGCTTGAAAGATGATTGCCATAATCAATCATTCATTTTTTAATTACCTTAATCTTTAAATCTGAGATTAATCGAAAAATTATGCTTTGTTTTTTAAAACACACAAAAAACAAATACTAATCATCCCTTTCAGAATACATTGTCATTCCTGCTTAAATTTAATCACAAACTTCGTTGACAAATTAGTTTTGTTTAAGACAAAGACGTATCATAAATGATAAGTACAAATATATAAAAGGTTTTCTAACTAATTGATTATAATTAGATTCATCACAATCTCGCAATCACGAGATAAGGTCAAAAATAAATGATTAGCTCGTACCGTTAAAGTGAAATAAAAAAAATCTCATTTGTATGATAGATGCAATTGCTTTTATTTCTCCGCAAATGATGAAAAAAGATAAAAACACTATAATAAAGAAACTAGCTTTTAAAAAGGTAAAAAAGTGTATTAGAATGCAAATCACGTACGAATAATTCGTTAGAAGAATAAGAGTTGTGGGGTTGAATGATATAGAATATAAAGTTCTATTTTTAATAATTAATTTCAAACGTATAGATATGTATGTATTTACAAAACATTTTCTGATTTAGTTTTTTTTTCACTTGTTATTTTTATCAAGAATTTATTTATTTCGATTTTTTTATCGTAAAATTCTTTTTTCTATTAATAAAAACTTTAAAAAAAACGTACGATCTTGTTTGAAGCTAGGCTCCCCAGATTATTGAATTTCCGCAGTCCTGATCAATTTCACGGACAATGAAGGGAAAGTAGCACAGGTGCTACTTTACGCATTAGTGAAAGTGTATTTTTACACAAACCAGGAACATACTCAGTGTTCAATGTTCAAGATTTGTTTTTGAAAGTTGTGCTATCATTAGTATGGGTTCTGTTTTTTTCTGTTTTTTTGTGTTTTCTTTTTTCTGTTTTTTTCTAGATAGTTTTCTGGGAGCAATTTTGTTCTATTCTTTAGCAGTGCGGTTTGTACTGATTTAATTTAGTTAGACGACAGCGTGAGCGTACATAGCGTAAACTAACATCGGGTCGAAGATTTTCTAAAATTTGAAGTTAGTCACAGAATGAATTGAGCAGCCAGTTCTATAGCTTTAAATTATGTCTGGTACACTCGGGTTAGGGCTTGAAAATAAGGAACCTAAACGACTGGATTTAAATGCTACCGGAATATTTAAAATGTCCTTTTTCTTGCTTGCATGATATGTGTGCACTGTGAATTTTCCTTCTAAAATCACAATAAAATAACCAACAACTGTCTGTACATCTACTTAAATATGAAGTTTACGGTAAACAACAATTTTTAACCTTTATGATTTTGAAACCGTTTAAAACTACTGTTAAAAAACCTTTACAACAGCATAGTCTCAAAACCATAAAAACAAAAATTCGAGTTAAGTAATGAGTTTCGTTAGGTAGTGAGCATTGAAGTTAGGTTGTTGTTGAGTTGCTGTCTTATTAAACGAACCGTAGAATGTAGTTAAATTAGTTTATCTGGTTGTTTCCCTGACCGTTAGAGATAGGAGATACTAGACTTTTTCACGTTAGGCAGCTTTATGCTGTTGTCATCAATGTGTGAATGAGAATATCGTATTCTAATTGTCCGGGGTCACAAGTTGGAAGTGCTGGACACTGAAACTCTCCATGTGTTGAAGGGAATGAAGGAAATATTGTGGTGTCTATACTGTAACTCGAACCCAATTCTTTTGGACATGAAACTGACTCATTATCTCTCTTGGCTATTATTTGTACTCACAGATGCAAGGAACTAAGTAGATTCATTAGGTGGGCCAAGTTGGCGAGATAATATTTTGGTTGTTTAACTGTAGTAGGTGAAGGCAGTTAATAAACGTTTTTTTCCAAAGTTAACAGTTTGAATACCGTGTTATTTAAGGTTATTTGACTGAAAATGATAAAATAACAATTAAATAAACTGTTATTTAACCCTTAATAGAATTAAACTGTGTGTGATGAGGCACCTTTGAACATACGTATGTACAAAGTAAATACATCAGAATATGTCTAAAGGAAATCAATTTGAAATTTGAAAGATGTAGCTTCGAATTATTATGCTTATTTATTAAAGTTCTTCAATATAATAAAGACTATTAGATTTATTCTTAATAGGATTAAAGTGTGTGTCATAAGGCACCTTTGAACAGTTAAAAGTATAAATTAAATACATCAGGAGATGTCAAAATATAATCAAGTTAAAGTTTGAAATATGAAGTTTGTAATTATTATACTCATTTTATTAAAGTTCCAAACAGCAATAAAGACTTTTAGATTTATTCTTAACAGGACTAAACTGCATATGATGAAGCACCTTTGAACATTTAAAAGTATAAACTAAATACATCGGAATATGTTTAAATATAATGGATATAAAATTTGAAGGAATGTAGTTTGTAATTATTATACTGATTTTACTAAAGTTCTTAACTATAATAAAGAATATTAGATTTATTCTTAATAAGAGTAAATATTTGTGATGAGACACCTTTGAACATTTAAAAGTAGAAAGTGTATGTCTAATACAATCAATTAAAATTAAATCTGATCTTTCATATTCTGGTTAAAATAACCGAGGCACCTATATATAAAATAAATGAGGCAAAGTATGTGATGACGCAGATTTAAAAGTTCAAAGTAAATACATCAGAATATGTATAAGCATAATCAATTTAAGTTCTTTCAAATAAAATTATATTTCGACGGTAAAACTTATATTATATTTCGACGGCTGGAACTTAATTTAAAAAACCTTTTTGCAGCCATTTTCAAAAATATTTATTTCTACTTCTTATCATGCACAATTGATTGAACATACATAAGAAAGGGGAGAACACTAAAAGTAGTAGAAGATTTGAGAAATACAGGATAAAAACTGTACTACAGTACAAAATATAATTAAAACATGATTATGGAAAAGATTTTAAAAGCTATGTTATGTTGACATTTCATCACTGTTATATCGCGTAAAAAAAGTTCAATATCTTGACCCTGATACTAGTACTAAAATCAATTTTTCTTCAGTCCACAATTCGAATTTTCACTACTGAGCTAGAAGGTTTGATTGAAGAACGCTTTTTGAATTGATCAAAATCTGGCTATTAAATGATGCATCAATTAGGTAATTGGAAATAAATTGGAAATAATAAAATATGCATCAATTAGGTAATTCGCATAAGATTATGCATCCAGAATTCGAAGTTCCGTTCCAAACAATTGGCGTGATAGCAAAATCGGAAGAACCGAAAGGGTGAAGTGGATTTTGAAACAGATCAAATTTTAATTTATCTCGGAAGGATTAAACATAAATTATAGAATTTTTTTTTTTCAAAAAAGAAAAATAAAGTAGATGTAAAAAAAGCTAAAAGTAACCTTTTTACCCATACAAACATATTTTTATGACAACGAAAAAAAATTTCTTATCAAGTAATTGAAGTTTCTGTTCTCCAAAAGAGCTTCCAATATTTTATAAAGACTTTAACATTAAGGAAGGTACTAAAAATGCAGTATGGAACAATTTTGTCGGAAACTTCAAAGTTTTTTTTTTTTATATAGAAACTTCAATGCACTTTTTTTGGTATACGATCCACCTACGTTGTTACTTAACGCATCAATAGATGAAGCTACTATAGAATTAAGAAGGTAGAGTATACCGGGTAGTGGAACTGCACCTTAAAAAACAGCAGTGCAAAGTATAGTTTGTCTACAGAAAAAACTCCCCTCTCCACGAAGTCTAAGCCTGTCTGCTGCCATGGAAACAAAAAATAGCGCATTTCAAAGAAGGGAGATTCTTTCTCCCCTGTTTCCCTTTTCCCGCAATGACACTTAATCTTGAAAAAAATAATAAAAAACATCAGTGTAGAATATACCAGGCAGTCGCACTAAAAAAAAACAACAACTTTATTATTTAAAAAATAAATGTCTATTACAGAAGTAAATCAGATATTGGAATTATACTTTTCTTTATTATAAAAATTTGTATATGAATTAATTCCTTAGAAATATATCTGAATTATCTCCAGCTTACTGTTTGAGATGGATTTTGTATTCATTTACTTTGCTTGAAAGTGCGAATTAACCAAGTTAGTTTGTAGTCAAAGATTTTCAAAGAATTTCTTATATTTTCTTATTTTATTTATTAATTTTTTTTTATTTTCATAAAATGGCTATCACTTTGTTACATAAGGCTATCACTTTGTTACATAAAGAATAATTTTAATGTTATTAAACGTTTCGTTATAAGGAAAAATTTGCTTTATCTCTACTACATAAGTTTGTATTTTATAAAATGAAGGAGTATACAAGTATATATTTTTCGTTTAAAAAGTATAACACTTTCTCTTCGGAAGTGTTGAGAAACAAGATTAAATAATGTGATAAAGTGATTTACAAGTACCCACAGGCAGGATTGGAATTAATTTAAAGATTATAAAAATGTCGGAAATATACGCTTCTGAGAGGAAGACGGATTGAGCCCGAGTCGGAGATTGATTTGGGTCGGGCTTTAATATATACGATAAAAATATGCTACTTGTATCTTCTGAAGTAGGAAAAATTAATTCTTCTGTCAGAACGTTAGTCCCTAATGAGTAGCGATAGAAACAAAAAATCAGTTTTCGTCTCACACAAAATACTCTGGGTCAGCATTTCGGATCATTACGACATGAAGAGTCTTTGTCTTGCAAATAGTTTTGAGGAGGAAGCCTGTTCTTTGGCTAAACTCACGTTCCCAGCGGGAGAAAAAAAAAGTGAAAACAGAGATAAAGAACAGTTTATGAATTATAGTGTCATCTCCTAACGGAAATAGGTTAGTTGAAAAAGATTAGAAAACAAAAAAGAACTTTTTTTGCGGGCGTTCGAATTGACATGCATGGTCAGAAGACGTTTGACCAAACGTGTCACCTAATGCAGATAAAGTAACGCCATCGCGATTTTACTTTTATTTGGAACGAAATCGGAAGCAAACTTGTTTTGGGAATGTGCATTGTTGATTCTGTCACATCACAGACATAAACAAAACAAAACAAAAACTAGATCATTGTTTGCATGAATCTTCTAGTTCGAGAAAAGAAAACCTATTCACTTTTCTTGTCTTGAGGTCAAGGGCCCAATCTAGTAGCCAAGGACCACTGGCTCAATTCGGAGTATATAAGACCAGAAGTGAATGACTTGGTCAGTAGTTGTGTAAATCCTCCTTTAAGAACTTTCTCAAATTTAAATACAATCGTTGTAGTCATTTCTTCTAAATCCATCATGAAGGTTTTGGTAAGTTGGCTTCATAGGAATACTATGCTTGCTATCTTCTGATCTAAACAGTTTAGTTAAATAAGTTATAAAATCTTTTAAGTTTATCAAGAATTAACTTTTAGTATTAAGGCAAATCCTTGAATTCTGAAACTACCACAATTAAGTTTTTGAAATATTCGTTTTCATTGCTAGTTAAGTGTGAGCTTTAATATTTATAGATTAAGTGATTAATATAATATTTGAATTATACTATTGCTTTACTAAGTCATACATTGTAATAAAACAGTTCATTTAAATAAGTTTGTCTAATGAAAATAATAAGCACTGTATCTTGTAAGTTTCTTTTAGCACTAAATTATAAATGTTTTTAACTCTTCTTTTAAGTTAATAGTCGTAAAATGCTTCTGTCAATATATCACGGGCCTACTTTTTTTCCTGCTTGGAGTCAGAAGTTTCAGGAGAATCTTGCCTTGTTGTTTTAGCGTAATTTAACTTCGAAGCTTCTGATTTATAATTTTTTTTAAAAATTTAAATTCAGTATAATACGATTTGATTATATACATTTCATTGCTACATGAACATTGCATTTGGAAAAAAAATAATTCATGAAATTTAACTATATAAAATTCAGTTTTTTGAGAAAAAAAAATTCATGAAATTTAACTATATGAAATTCAGTTTTTTGAGAAAAAAAATAATTCATGAAATTTAACTATATAAAATTCTAAAGATATTTAGTAAGTTTTAAGACAATTTATACTTTGTGAATTATATGATACAGGTCAATATTGTTTAGGCAGATAATTATTTAAATCATTTTTGAGTAGAGATAAATTTTTTTTTTAATCAGAGTAAAAGCTCAGAGAATTAATAACTTGAAGTTTTGTAATTTTGGTAAAATGAAAATTTAAAGATTGAAGCTCAAAAATGGTGATTAACGTTAGTATGAAATTTAAGTATTGAAATGTTTTTCGTGATACGAAATGTAAATATATTTCAAGTAGTTTTCAAAGCTTAATTTATAGTTTAAAATTTTATTTATAATTTATGAGAAAATTTTGCTTTATTCTGTTTCTTGACCACGATGATGGGTTTTGCTTGTAGTACTGAAACAGCTTCTTTTATTTGCATTTTTAACGTTGTTCCTACATAATTGTAATTTATATTTACATAGAAATAAGTAACAGGAAATGTTTTGAAAGCTAAATTTAGTAAATTAGGTAGCATAAAAGAAAATACACAAATTATTAGAAATGCCAATTTCGTCATTTGCATTTTCTAAGCTTTGGGATCTCGTCAAATTATGAACATAATTTGTTTTAACAATGTTTAATTTTCTGTTTCAGAGCTTAACTGTTATTCTTACCGTTTTGTCTTCCACATTTGCAAGAGGATACTATGGTGGAGCCTATGGACTTAATACATTAGGTTATGGTTTAGGCTCTGGTCTCACATACGGTGGTCTCGGCTACGCACCATCAGCCAGACTAGTATCTTTAGGAGGAGGTTATTCTTATGGTGCTCCACGAGCACAGTACGTGCGTGCCGCTCCACTTGCGGTTGCTGCACCTGCTCCCATAACATACGCCGCACCTGCTCCCATAACATATGCCGCACCTGCACCAGTAGCTCTTGCTGCCCCAGCTCCAGTAGTTAGGTATGCTGCTCCAGCACCCCAAATTAGATATGCTGCTCCAGCACCCCAAATTAGATATGCTGCTCCAGCTCCTCAAATTAGATATGCTGCTCCTGCACCTATCAGAGTTGCTGCCCCAGCTCCAGTAGTCAGGTACGCTGCTCCTGCACCAGCTCCTATTGTTAGGTATGCCGCACCAGCTCCAGTTGCAGTGGCTGCTCCAGCTCCAGTTATCCGATATGCTGCCCCTACTCCAATCAGAGTTGCTGCTCCTGCACCAGTCATCCGTTATGCCGCACCTGCACCAATCAGAGTTGCTGCCCCTGCTCCAGTTGCAGTTGCCGCTCCAGCACCAGTCATCCAATATGCTGCCCCCGCACCAATCAGAATAGCTGCCCCAGCTCCAGTTGCAGTTGCTGCTCCTGCTCCAGTCATAAGGTATGCTGCACCAGCACCCATCAGAGTTGCCGCTCCAGCTCCAATTGCAGTAGCAGCTCCAGCACCCATTGCAGTGGCAGCTCCAGCAACAACTTACAGTCTAGGAGGACTTAGTGGTATTGGTGGTTATTCTTTCCCAACCATCAGAAACTATGGCGGAAAAAGCATCAAATAAACTGTTCCTGTTGACTGTGATGAAACGTAGGTATCTCTAAAGTTGACACTTAAATTTTTTTAAACTTATATTTTAGAAGAGAGAAAAGTTTCTAAGTAAAAAAAAATATTTCAAGTTAAATTATATGGTTCAGATTTTAACTTTTATATACGCACCCTCTTAGTTTACTTGAAAACTCGTTGATATAATTGCTATTTTTTCAAAGTTAAATTTATTTTTTCCTATCTTCGCCAGCTTTCAAAATTGGAATATTACTTTTTTAGTTTTATTTATTCTCTTTCCACAAATTGTTGAAATATTATGAGAGATTATTGTGCCTTGGATCAATTTTTACTTTTTTTTATATATGTATAGTAGATTCGAAATTTCGTGATAAATAAATAATAAGAAGTTTAAGAATAGCAATATTTATTATTAATTATAAATTATTTAATTATAATGCATTTAATAATAATAATACATTTAATAAATTTAGTAGTCGTTAGTTTGTCGATAGTTAGTAGTCAAAATAGTTTGTCGATAAATATAATTCTTTTTACCTGTACTTACATTTCAGAAAAAAATGTTTAAAGTAATAATATTTGTCCCGGGTAAAACACTTATTTTAAATACCTTTCTGCTTAAGCTATTAGTTAATTGAATTTGGTTATTCATCCAGTTAAAACTTATTTTTCACGTTGCCTGCGAAAGCAGAAATAAATCAAGCTTATTGTGAACGTAATAATAGTTTAGTGGAATATTTTAAACATTTGTAGCTATATTAAAAACGTCAAATTTTTTACGTAATGTGAGTAGCTTACTTCACAGGGAAATATAATTGCACTAACAGAACTTGTTGCACATACTTACAACAGGTCCAAAATACAATATGGAGACTTGTCCAAGGTACAACAAGTATACCCTTTTTTAAATTTCTTAGGCCAAACAAATTTTTTTTAAAAGTTTTATTTTACCTTCAAGATAATGGTTTTTTAGTCTTTATTTCTGGTGCTTATTTTCTGGTACTTAGTTCTATTCACAAATACACATACAATAAGGTTTTATCTTTCAGTAAAATTAATTGAAAAATTACTCAGCAAATAAAATAATATAAAAAAGTTCTCTAGGTATTTGCCTGGAAAACCTGAAATGCTTATGAAAGCAGAAAATAGTACTTTTTGTTCCTGGCATCTACTAAATTTACTAAAAGCAAAATTCCAGTGGTATCTATGCAGCATTTTTTCTATCTGCCTAAAAAAATAACTTGATCTCAAAATTCGGTGTGGTCACCTAAAATTTCTTCCAATACAAAAGTCACTTAATTTATTATTTTTGCCTTCTGCTAAGTAAAAACAGAGAGTTCGAAAAGATATCATAAGTTATGTATCAAGATATGGTTATTTAGTGTAAATTATGAACTAAAGCGAAACCTGAAAAAAATTAAAGTACAAGAAAAGTCAAGAAGAAATTTCAACTGGCTTTATCGTAAATTTTAGAACGGGCCATTTATAAAGTTTATTTTTGAAACTTCTTGTAAAATATTGGAAAAATTTTGTTTTTTTGCTGAAAAAAGTAATGATTTAAATGATTTTCTGTAAAAAATAATGAGTAAAAATTTTGTATTGATTACTTTTTTCCCTTTTTTCCAGATTCCTCCAGTAGATGGAATAACTAAGATTGTAGAGAATGTTTCTGTTTCTTTCAAGATATTCTTCTTTTATCAGAAGAATGAACTTGATTCGAAATCCTTACCAAATATAAAAGCTTTAACTCAAATCCTTCAGAGATGGTTTTTTTAAAAAATACTTTTGAACAAATGGTGCTTTTTTTTATATAATTTTTTTTTTGACAAAATTTAGAAACTATGGTGCTCTATTTACAACTATTGTTATTGGTTTTTAATAAAAGCTTTTATTATTTTATTTGAGTGTTTTTTTAACAATGTACATGATTATTTTAATTTGAAAAAAAATACGGGCATTGAAAAAAATATGTATAAAAAGCATTCGTCATTAAGAATATAAATACTAGAAATGTAGTGAATATTTATCACGAATAATGAAGTGCACTATTTGATAAATCGAAAATAAAGTAAAAATGCTTGAAAGCAAAATTATAAATAATTTTAAATATAGTTCAAAAATATGAAAAATTTCCAATGTAGGAAGCATATGGTTTCATGAATCATGTATAGACTAAAAGAATGATAAACTCATAAAAACTTTTCCTGAAACTTTAGGACAAAAAAAGAGAAAGTAAAAGTGAAAAACATGAGTATTTCCTAAGAATAATAAAGCAAATATTTCAAGAATCATAGATAGGGGAAAAACATATAGGCCGATTTTGTCATGAAACTTGGCGGCTAATTTGTGTAAACATTGTATATAAAAGTATAACTGATTAATATGAAAATTTCTCTAGCATAGAATTGAATAATGGAAATCTAGAAAATTTCTCGACTGATACAAAATGTCCCATTTTATGAATCAAAATATAAATATACGGATATGAGGAAAAACTTAAAATATAATAGAAGAGAAAGAATAGAAAATAACAAACTTAAAATAGAGCAAAAGAAAACGAATAGAAGAAAAATATGAAACAGAGTGGAATAGAAGGAATAGGAAACAAATTGAAATAGAGTAGAATAGGACGAAGAGAAGAAAAATGAAAATGATGAAAAAGGGAACGAATAGAAGAAAAACGAAAAAAAGAGAGGAGAACAACGGAGAACAGAGTAGAAAAGAACGAATAGTAGAAAATTATATCGACTTATTAATATCATTAACAGTTGACTTGAAAAAATTATAATATTTCAGAATTTGTAAAAAATTTTGGATTTATATGTTCAGGAATATCAATGGCTTTTTTTTTGCACTGTGGGTAGAAACCATCATTTAATTTTATAGCTTACAATTGGGTATAATATGAAAAAAACACAACTACTTCGATTTAGTAGGAACAACATATGACGCAATGCTAAACGAATGGAATTTAGTTGTTGTTTATTTAGTTATTGTTATTAGTAGTTGTTGCTATTTGTTTTAGTTGTTGTTGTTTATTTAGTTGTATTTAGTTTCAATAACTTTTCTTTATAATGCAATAAAATCTGGCGAGCAGCTATTTAAACGATCGAACACTTCGTTTGTTTATTTGTGGCTTGAAGTTAGGCTCGCAGAAAATGCCGTTCATGGGTTAAATTTAGTAGGAACAACACAACCTGTGATGTAGGCTATATTATACCCAATTATCTGGAATTATGTATAAAAATTTATCGTTTTAAATTTATACAGTGCTAAATAGTTAATACATAATTGGTAAAATCTTTTAGTTTTAAAGAAAAATATTGGTTTCGAAAATCGAAATATAAATGCAAAATTTTATTCTCAATTTTACATAAACCATAAATAAAACTGCGTCTAGATCAACTCACATTGTTGTCAATTGACGCAAATTTTAATTTACACTGCATTTGTTATTCAATGTTTGAAAACGATATCGATTAAAAAAAGAGAACCACAATATTTTTTAATAATTTTGTAGGAAATTTGGGTGTTTTTGACTTGAAACGAATTTTCCTTACATTCTATACAACTCATAAAAATGGAATTCAGTTAGTAAATTTGTTCAGTTTTTTTTTCAAACTTAAAATAGTAAATTCAAAGCTAGTAATACAAATGTAAAGTGTAAAATGTTTTTGTGTTTTACAATTTGATTATAAAAAATTCAGATATTGAATAAAAATTACAAAATATTCTTCTCTTTATTCCGAGTTTTTTTTAAAAAAAAGGTCTGTGGTTCAATTACAATACAAAGAAATGATAATTTTCCATGTTGCTTATAAAAATATTGATAATGCTTCTAAATTTGTAAAATATTCCATATTGTTTATAAAATGAAAACAACATTGGCATATGAAAGGCAAAATTTTACATATACATCTCTGAGCATTACGTCGAAATAATTAGTAAAAACTGTTTTTCTCAAACTATTGAAATCGCTAATTATTACACGACTTCAGGAAATATAAACGAATGATATATATTTCTACAAAAATTTATCATTTCAGATTTTTTTTATACAGAATGGTACAGTATACAGTAATTTTACAGTAATTTAATTACAATAAACAAGTTTAAAATTCTTTCCACTAGATTCCAGTACTCCAGTAGAAAATTTCCAGTAGTTATAATGCAGCAACATAAAAAAAACTACTGCATCTATTGCCAAATTGTCCAAACCTGAAATTACACTGTAAAAAATGTTGGTGTATAGTTGTCACCATCAAAATTTTTACAGTGCATAACATTATCATGAATTGTCATTCTGAACCTATCAGGTCAATTTTTATTTTTTGCTTTTAGCTCTCATAGCCCACCTCACCGAAAAGAAAATGTAACTAAATAATTATTTAGTTAATTTCTTTTAAATCTCATGAACTAAAGTAATTTAATTACAGTAAAAAAGTTTAAAATTCTTTCCAGTAGATTCCAGTAGTCCAGTAGAAAATTTCCAATAGTTATAACGCAGCAACATAAAAAAAAACAAAAAAACTGTTGTATCTATTACCAAATTGTCCAAACCTGAAACTACACTGTAAAAAATGTTGGTGTATAGTTGTCACCATTTCTGGTGCTGAGGTAAGCTAAATCCATTTTTAAGTATACAGATGTAGTTATCATGCAAAAATTGTATCAAATTGGCAAAATAACAATTGTCAACACCAAAAATGGTGGCGACTATACACCAACATTTTTACAGTGTACAACATTATCATGAACCGTCATTCTGAACCTATCATGAACCATTCTGAATCGTCATTCTGAACATAGGCATATGAAATTAAGTGACATTGTCCGTGTTTAGTTCACATTGTTTAGTTTTAAACTTAATAAGGCTCCCATTAGGAAAAGTGAATTTTTGTTATAAAATAGTAATTTTATTTTTCCGATTAAACTTTTTTAAATGTTATACATTTCTTCGCTTTAAAGAAATCAGTTGCTTAAGCTTCTATAGGTTCGTTTTTAAAGTTTAAAATTATCTATTTGTTATTTTACTAGAGTATAGAGTTTGCTATTCTTTGGACTTCTATCTGTGTTTAGTTTGCGATGAATGAAACTATGCTAAAAGAATGAAATAAATCCTAAAAAGAAAATATATATTCTATTATTATAATTCGAATAAAAATAGAAATTCTCAGAAGAAAAAAAAATTACACAAATAAATTCTTCTGTAAAATATATTATTTAACTTAAAATCTCTTAAACCTCAGAAAATTGACAAATCTATTTTGATATATCTTGTAATCTTGATAATCTTGATATATCTAATATTAAGAAATCAAACTCAATTCATACTAATTTGTAAATAGCTCGCATTAAAAAAAATACAAAATTATGCATCTTAAGCAAATCAAAGGGTGTTTTTTTTGAAGTTAAAAATTGAATCTGAACAACAAAAAAAATGCGCCTTTTTTTGTTTAGTAATAAACCCTTGTATAGTTATTTATAGCTAAAAGTAGCAATTTTTTTAAGCGTATAAATGAATTGAAATTACCAAAACATTTTTTAAGTAGATTTATTTTCAAAATACACAAGAATGAACAGCTTTTTGTATTCTAAAATAGGTTCACCGTTTGAAATTTCGCAACAATATGTACAACAATATGAAATTTCGCAACAATATGGTAAAATAACAATTTATTTAATCGTTACTTTACCTTATTCAACTAAAACAGTCAAATAACCATAAAAAAGAAGATAGCGTTTAGACTGTTTAGTATGAGAAGAATTGCTCATTGACTGTTTTTGCCAAATACGGTTAAACAACTGGAATTTTATCAGTTCACAGCCAGTTAGAATGAAACGCACGTTCTTTGGTGATAAGGATTACAAATTCATATTTTCATTTTTCATAATCGGAAACCTAAATAATCTTATAGTAATAACTGTGTGGTGCATACCTTATGAAACGACTTAATTCCTTGCTGCTGGGTACATACTTTAGCCGACTTACTTAATTCCTTGCTTCCGGTCATTATATTGACAACTTAACCTTTTGGTAAATCTGTCAATATAATGCCCGGCTGAAGAGGGATCGAATTCCGCCGTTAACACCAGAACATTTCCTCTATTTACATACAAGGAATTTGCAGTGTCCAGCACTCTTGAATTTTTTATCTTGAACTATTGGAATACGAAATTCTCGTGCATGCATAAATGTCTTTAACACAGAGCTCCTTACTATAAAGAAGTCTAGTGTTTTCCATCTTTCACGACAGAGGGCATCATTAGATAAAATAATAAGCCACATTCCACAGTTCACTTGACAATACCCAACTCAACCACAAACTAACTCTAATGTTTATTAGCCAACGAAACGGTTTTTATTACCGAATATTAAAAAAAAAAGTAATATAAAAGTAAAAATAAATAAAGAGATAATATAAATCAATATATATTTAATAAAATGAATAATATTTCATGAAACATTTTCATGTAGTATCACAACATGCAAATTCGTTGTTGTTGTTGCTTATCCCATTGGTCTAGAGCCCTAGACCAAGTCCAGAAGATCATGTCGCATCAGCAAGTCATAGACAGACTCTCCATCACTCATCAGTTGCCTCACAGATCGAGGCACAAATGCAATCCAAAAGATGAGATAGAGAAGACATGCAAATTCGTTATTATAAGCATGTTTAGTCCTATTTTGCACTGTCAATTTTATTGAAATTTTGCTTAAATATTATCAAAACTGGATATTCAGTTTATTTTATTTCATAACTGGCGTTGAACTAATGAATAGCAATTCTTAAAGCTCATATCCGTAGTCTTTAATATATGCCTTAAAAGGAACTCATAATAAAACGTATTGTTACAAACTCGCCTTCATAGAATAGTGTCAGTCTTTAGTGTGAAAA